CTGAATGGGAAAAAAAAAAAAAAAAAAAAAAAAGTCTGGGAAACTGTGGTTTAAACAAAATTCAAAGATTCTCTACTACAGAACTTCTCTTAAACCTTGCTGATGCTAAGATTCATTGGGAATCTCTAAGAGGAGACTATAGAACAAAACGCTTTTCCATTATATTTGGTCAGAGAACTGTTTGAAATCACTTAGCATCTCTGGGATTAATACTGCGGAGAGATTAGTTTAGGAAGTGCTGATTTCAAACAACTTCAAGAGACATGATTTCCCCCCGCCCTGTGACCTGGTTCATCAAGCCAATGCCCAAACAGAGGAAGAGGGACAAATCCTTTGGAAATTATTTTCACTATTATTCCTTCAATATCATTCCCGGGAAAAGTAAGTCATTATTTCTCCCTAGTCCAAATGCAGCCCATCATATCATTTTGCTGAATATATTTAGACTATACGGCTGACAGCTATAGAGTATGGTGTGAGAGAAAGACTGGAGAAGACCCCAAGGCTTTTGGCCTTAGCAACAGGAAGGATGGAATTGCCCTTAATTGAGGTGATAAAGACCCGGGAAGGGCACAGTGTAGACATGAAGACTGGGAACTCAGTTTTGGAACTGAAGTTTGAGATGTCTGTTAGAGATTCAGGTGCAGACGTGGGGTAGGGAGTTGGATGTATGAGTCTGGATTTCAGGGAAGAGGACTGGATCTGGACGTGAGATACAAATTTGGGAGTCACCGGCATAGAAATATTTAAGGCTATGAGACTGGATGAAATCACCAAGGATGATTACAGAGCAAGAAGAGAAAAAGACCAAGGACTGAGCCCTGAAGCCCTGGATATTATTCAGAGGTCGGGAGTTGCAAGAGTCCAGCAAAGAAGAATGGGCAGTAGTGAGGTGGAAGACAAGTCAGGAATGGTGTTTTGGAAGCCAAGTGAAGACATTGTTTTAAGAAAGAAGAAGGGATCCACCGGGTCAAATTCTAGGTGAATCTGCTCTGACTTTGTCTTGAGGGCAGTGACACATTAGGAGAGTGATACCTGGTGAAGTTAGATTCTAGAGACATTGGTCTGGCTGCCTCTGTGTTGAGGATGGATTGCAGGGGGCAAGAATAAATGCAGGAAGACAGGTCAGGACACTATGCAGTGGCCCAGGTGAGAGGCAGTGGTGGCCTGGAATAGGCTGGAAGCAGTGGGGGTAGAGAAGGGGTTGGATCCTAGGTCTATTTTGGGAGGAAGGTGGACAGGACTTGGTGACTATAGGTGGGAGGTGAGGAACAGGGAGAATACAGGGATGACTACAGCTCTCTGGCTTGGGTTCTTGAGCAATGGATGGGGTTGCTATTAACAAAGAGAGGAGGAGTGGGTATGGGGGAGATCTAGGAGAATATCTCTGGATGATGACTTGGAGGTACCCACAGATTATAAAGGGAGAGAGCAGCTTCCCAGGAAGACAAATTTGGTTTTCCTCGGCACACACATGGTCATTAGTACCTCGGGGAAGGCTGAGTCATGTCACATGTAAGCGATGGGCAGAGGAAAAGAAACTCATGCAGAACTGGATGGGGTGGCCAAAGAGGTGGGAACAAAGCCTGAGAGTTTTAAAGAGTAGTCGAATGCTTCCGGTAAGAAGTACAGGTCTGAGAAGTATTCAAGAAGCTACTGGTGACCAAGGTGGGTGCAGCTTTAGGGGAGAGGTGAAAGCAGAAGCCAGATTGGGGTGAGTTGAGAAGTAAGTGGGGTGAAGGGAATGGAGACCAGGAGTGTAGACAACCCTCTCAAGAAGTTTGTCAACCACGACACATTTCAATTTAAACTTTCAAATAGGCTAACCCCAGATGGAAACATCACATTTCTATTGCATAAATTCTGAAAGTCCTTATATTTGCAATGTTTGATAGCAGCTTGTCCTTAAGCAATACCACATTATGACAGCTTAAAGAGAAGTGGAAATTTCACAAACCTAAGTCAACAATAAAGCCTCCAGACATTTGCCATATGTTTATAATGACAGATAATTCAGTTCAAGGAAATATAAAAGGTATCCAAACAACAAACATTCAGACCTTACATATTAGTTTTTACTTAGCTTCATGAAATCTCAGAGAGTTAAGCAGCTTTCAATTATTTGATCACTAATACATTGGATGACATTTGAAGATTTTAAAAGGGTACATGGAGTCTATAATGTGTTGACTTTTTTTTTTTAAAGATGACTGGTAAGGGGATCTTAACCCTTGACTTGGGGTTGTCAGCACCACGCTCTTCAAAGTGAGTAAACTGGCCATCCCTATGTGGGATCCGAACCCACAGCCTTGGTGTTATCAGCACCACACTCTCCGGAGTGAGCCACAGGCCAGCCCA